ACTTGCACTTTTGCCAAACACCCCCACACTTTAAAATAATTCAAGTTGGGCTTCCTTCCTTTCCATTTTTCATATGGAATGGATTGTGTTTTGCTATGGGGTACTCGATTTAGTATTCGGCTGGCCGTAAGAACGGCTTCTCCCCACAAGTTCTGTGGCAAACCAGAACTTATCGACAATGCGTTCATCATCTCCTTTAATGAACGATTCTTTCTTTCCGCAATCCCATTGGATTGGGGNTCTTTGACAACAAGTCTTGCCTTAAATTTATCAATAGTGCCATCATCTTTCATTTTTTTCTTAAAAATCCATTTAGAACCCAAAGATTTATTTCCAGGAGGAAGATCAACCAATTCCCATGTATGGTTGTTCAATATGGATTCTATTTCACTATTGACTGCCTCTTTCCAAAACAATGATTCCGAAGAAGTCATAGCTTCTTTAAATGTTTGAGGCTCATTCTCCAATAAGAAAGTCACAAAATCTGGTCCAAATGAAGTAGACGTTCTTTGACGTTTACTACGTCTTGGATTCTCCTGATTACATGTACTTTCTTTTGTTTCTTCCCGAGGTCGTTTAGATCCTTCACCAAACGACTCACATTCCTTTTTATACGGATATATATTTTCAAAGAACTCAGCATTATCTGATTCTATAACCGTATTATTATGAATGTCGGGATTTTCTGATTTATGAACCAGAAATCGATATGCTTTGCTATTAGTCGCATATCCTATGAAAACACAATCAACTGTTTTCGGTCCTATTTTTACCCTTTTGGGTTTAGGAACTTGCACTTTTGCCAAACACCCCCACACTTTAAAATAATTCAAGTTGGGCTTCCTTCCTTTCCATTTTTCATATGGAATGGATTGTGTTTTACTATGGGGTACTCGATTTAGTATTCGGCTGGCCGTAAGAACGGCTTCCCCCCACAAGTTCTGTGGCAAACCAGAACTTATCAACAATGCGTTCATCATCTCCTTTAATGAACGATTCTTTCTTTCCGCAATCCCATTGGATTGGGGCGTGTAAGGGGCTGTTGTTTGATGAATAATTCCATATTCTAAACATATTTGTTCAAAAGGAGATTCATATTCACCACCCCTATCACTTCTTATCATTTTGATTTTCTTGTTAAGTTGCGTTTCAACTTCATTTTTGTATTGCTTGAATGCGTCTATTGCTTCATCTTTACTATTAAGTAAGTAAACATAGCAATATCGAGTACTATCGTCAATAAAAGTTATGAAATACTTCTTTCCACCGCGAGATGGTATTGACTTCATGTCACAAATATCTGTGTGAATTAAGTCTAAAGGATTTGAATTCCTTTCAACCGACTTATAAGGATGTTTAACATACTTAGATTCCACACATATTTGACATTTTGATTTTTCGCATTCAAACTTAGGCAATACTTCCAAGTTAATCATTTTTCGCAAGGTTTTATAATTGACATGACCCAAACGTACATGCCATAAATCATTTGACTCAAGTAAGTAAGAAGAAGCTGAAGTTTTATTATTAGTTTCAACAACTATTACATTCAGCTTGAAAAGGCCCTCAGTAAGGTAACCTTTTCCTACAAACATTTCATTCTTACTAATCACTACCTTGTCAGATACAAAAACGCACTTGAAACCGTGCTTTACAAGAAGTCCAGTAGAGACTAAGTTCTTCCTAATCTCGGGAACATGAAGGACGTTGTTCAAAGTCATGACCTTGCCAGAAGTCATCTTGAGAAATATCTTACCGTATCCTTCAATGTTTGTTGTAGCAGCATTTCCCATAGAGAGCGTCTCTTCGGGTCCAGCAGAAGCATATGTAGAAAATGCTTCCCTCACAGCACAAACATGGCGAGTGGCTCCAGAATCAATCCACCACTCCTTTGGGTTTCCTACCAGGTTGCATTCAGAAAGCATGGCGCACAAGTCATCAACATCATCATGCTTTTCTACCATGTTTGCTTGACCCCTTTTCTTGTCTTTCTTCCGAGCACGACACTCCGTAGATTTGTGTCCGGTTTTCCCACAGTTGTAGCAGTTTCCACTGAACCGCTTCTTGCTTGGGTTGTATTTCGGACCAGAAGCCTTCTTTCTCTTTTTGTATCTTCAACAATTTTTGCTCCCATTATTGTTGAATTTCCACGGCCTCTCCTTTCAGCAGCATTATTGTCCTCTTCGATTCTCAATCGAACAATGAGATCTTCAAGGGACATCTCCTTTCGTTTGTGTTTCAAATAATTTTTAAAGTCCTTCCACAATGGAGGCAACTTCTCAATTATTGCTGCTACTTGGAATGCCTCATTGATGACAAGACCTTCAATGAAAATTCCGTTAGTAAAATTACTAAAAAATTTACTTTCAACATTAGCATTCATTTGAAATATACCTTCAGCAAGTAGATCATGATTAATTACATGTAACTCCTGGACTTGGGTAATAATAGACTTGATATCTACCATTTTGTAGTCCAAAAATTTTGCAGCGACGAATTTCTTCATCCCGGCATCTTCAGTTTTGTATTTCTTTTCAAGCGCATTCCACAATTATTTTGACGTCTCCATGCCACTGTATACATTATATAGATTATCTTCCAATCCGCTAAGAATATAATTCCTGCACAAGAAGTCAGAATGCTTCCACGCCTCAATCACGAGAAAGCTATCATTCTCTGGAGTTTCATCTGGAAGATCAGGAACATCTTCCTTGATGAACTTCTGTAGACATAACGTAGTCAAGTAGAAGAACATCTTTTGCTGCCAGCGCTTGAAATCCATCCCGGAAAATTTTCCGGGTTTCTCTGCCGGTGCCAACGCCGGAGTTCGACTTGTCGATGCGTTGGCAGTCATCATCGGAACAGCTTGATTTCCGTCATTCGCCATTTTTACTGTAAAAATGACACAAACAAACGTTTAATAAACGTTTAAAACTGGAGTGAAAAATCACGTAGATTTTAATCTCCAACAAAATGCCACGAAGGCTTTAAAACTGGAGTAAAAATCACGTAGATTTTAATCTCCAACAAACCGCCACGAAGGCTTTACTCTCCAAACGGGAGTACACAAAAACCACAAAGGTTATAGTTTCCAGAATAATAAAAGTAACACAAATACAGAAATTAAAATTATTAAATTCCTTAAGCTTGTTATTATTATGCCTGTATTTGTAAATAATGATTCTGGAAATTAGAACGTTAGCTTATAAACGTAAATATAAATAAAACAGAAATTAATTCGAGCCCACTGAATTCACAGTGTTTCCTTAAGGAATTTAATCCCCTCCTAGTACCCAAGGTTATGGATTATTTCCTCCCAGGATAGAACGAATTACACACTGGTGTAGCGGTACTTCAAACCCCAATGTTTCAGCAAACACAAAGTTCGACAGCAAATCACACTTACTGTTGCTTTCTTAGTAGTTTAAAACAATGCAGAACAAGGGAGCAGAAGTCAGAAATTCGTATGGAAAATCTGAGAGGAAGGAGTGCAAAGTATAGCTAACGTTGAGTTTTCGGTGAAGAGAAGATCAATTGCTCTCAAGTTTTCAGTGTGTCTTCAACAGGCTGCTTGCACCCTCTATTTATAGTGCAATTAGCTACTAAAAATGGACCCGCTGCCACTCATGAAGTGGAGCACATAACCATGGTGGATAGAGCACCAGGCTGTTTACTAATGGAGCAAACAATATGGCAATGGTGGCTGGAGCACTACTCATGGTGGAATGAGCACTTGCTCATTAATATTCACGGATTGGAAAACATCCGTTAAAAACACGGATAATATTACGTTAATATTCACTATTAACAAATAAATTTGGTCCAAAAAATTAATCAATCAATCATTTGACCAAATCCGAAGCCGAAGTCATAGCCGAAGCCGAGCCGAGCGAGCGAGCGACGACGACGCGAGACTTGCCTTCTTCTTAACTCTTTAAGAGCTACATGAAGTGCATTTATATATAAACCCACCAAACTCCTTTTCCTCTACCAATGAGGGACAATGTCTCATTAAAAGGAAAGGGAAACTTAAAATTTTACTCAAAATTTTCATTTCCCTCCATTTCCCATTCACCCTCTTTTTAATGTCTTTCTATATTAAAAAGAAACTCAACAGTGAGAACTACCGTTGAATACTTAGTGATAAACAAACTAGAAAATCTTAAAGAAGTGCAATATCAGTAATTCTAACTTAATTATATTCTTAGAACTCAAAATGCTCTGGATTCAACCAAGAATCTTTAATTAGAGATGCTTTTGTCGGTTTGTATATTTGGTGAGTTTTACATTGTACCTTCCATTGGGGAATGGAAGGACCATCTCCAATCTCCATCCCCAAGGCCATTTAGAAACCAACAAAGAATCATATGATTAAATTGCCAAACCCAACATTACTCAAAAGAACACCTTCTTTTAACATCTTAGCTGGAAAGTTTTGGTATATATACTTGTAAATAAAATGAAGGTTCACCTAAAAGTTATGGCGGATGGTTCATATTGATAGTCTTTAATTAAAGGTTTTAGTTTCGAGTTATAAGAATGAAAAAATTCTTGACAGGAAGTGTTTTTTCTTCATAGTGAATCTATCGGATGTAGGGGCGGAGCTCGATGGATGGAAAGGGGTTCAGAACCCCTTTGCTGAAAATTACACTATTTATTATATTAGATGTTGAATTCCTTTAGCTTATTCACGTATTTACTTTTTTATCTTTTGAATCTTCTTAGTGAAAATCCTATTTTCACCTATTCGGATGTAAATCTCAACTAGCCGAGTCAGTGAATTAGTCTATCGACACATCTAGCTTCTAGATAATCAAAGATTTACAGAACAAAAGAAGCCAATAAATTAAATATGACTCTAGGCTTTAATTTTGGTGGACAGCTATAGCTCTCACAAGTTGGAAGACAGTTCAAATTTCACGCACAAAGTAATGCGAACCCCACTTTTTTTTCTATAAATACCTAATTCCTCTCTTTGAAACAATGAGCTCATAATTTAACCTTCCTCATTAAACAACTCCATATTCAAACAAAAGATAGGCAAAAAGAAAAGGTTGAGCTGTACACTTTGTACTTCTTGGAAATACGTTCTGAGATTTGATGGATCACGTTGTAAGGTTCAAAGAACTGAAATTTGGCCTTTTTTCATTTGAAGCATGTGATTGTTGAGAGTGTGTAGATCTTACAAACTTTCTGGATTTTTTTTTAGGTACATAAAGAGATAAATGGACAAGACTATCCACCACATCATTGTCAAGAAAGATCGAGTTGTATTGCATTTAAGGGTGTGGACTAACAGATGATGAAGCAAATGAAAATTACAATTTGAAGGTTTAAATTTTAATAAAATTTTAAAATGTTTGATAATTTCTTGGAAGTTAGCAACCAATGGCAAAATCATGAATTTCGTCAACAATGCCTAAGAAATATATATATATATATATATATATATATATATAATGAATGTTCAATTTACCACTTATTATTGTATAGGGTAAAATTGGTTCATATTAAATACTCGTGTAATAGAGCGACACATGGAACGAGAGACAGGTAGAAATCAAGACCGGGGGCAGTAGTTTCGGTTGGCACGGGGAAGACCCCGGAGGAAATATTGTTAGTGAAGAAAATGAATGCCTCCCACCCGATGGCGTTCAATGAAGAATATTCTGCAGTATTAAATACGCAGTCCGTTATAGAGAATTTTGGCATTCGTTGCTTGCCGTTACACATTCTTCAATGGCCCCCATAATTGTCATTTAAGAAGGGCTTGATCCTAGGACCTTGTTCTCTAGGTGCAACTATAAATAATGACTTCAATAGTCATTGTAAGGACAAGAATTTTCTCATAAACTTATGATATATGCTATTCAAGAGCTCAATAATACTTTATTTCTTGTCTATTGATATTTGTATTACTGCCTTCGGAAGCTCTGCTCCAGGAACCAACCTATCTTATGCCTTATCTCAATTTCAACACTAAGTCTTGCATTTTGTTTTATTTATTTATCATTTTGGAATCAAATCGATTCGCATATCTGTAATTCACGTTACAAATTCAACTGTACCGTTTGACGGGTAAACAGTTTGGCACCCACCGTGGGGCTTAGACAGTTGCGTGATTGGATTAATTCTTGCATCTATTACTAACCTGTTTAATTCTTTGTTTCTTAGCGAAAAATCATAAAAAATGACAGATAACAATGTCAACATCACGCACAACGTTGAGGCCCAAGAAAATCAGCCTCAACACGAAGATTCGATCAATGATACTCGCAACGAGGGGGATGAAGCCATATCGGTCCATGGGGGGCAATATCCACGACAAGTTCAAGAGGCAACTCCTGGTGATGCTGAAGACGAGCTGAAGCGAAAATAGTGAGAATTCTGATGGAACAACAAAAGGCTATTATGGGTCATCTCTCGTGACAAGATCAGGTCATGAAAGAGTTGGGGAAAGCGTTGTCGGGTGCTTCCAATAACGCGAATGGAAGAGGTCTAATTCCTCCCGGTGCTCCCACAAATCAAACATCACAAAGGGTGGATAACAACACCCCGGTGGGTGAGGTCGGCTTCGATAGGGCCAGGGGGGACAACAACGGATTTGGTAACAATAACGAAAATGATCCCTTTAAACCAAACTCATGCAATTTATGAGGGAAATAAATGCCCAAATGGATCAAATCCTGGGAGCACTGCCACTTTTGAAAGGACCGGACTCAAAGAAATAACCTAGTTACCGTTGAAACCAAGCGCAACATTGGAATTAATCCCGAAGCGGTTCAAAATGCCAGACGCGCCAAAATATAATGGGACCTCGGATCCTCAGGAGTACATCACCACTTACACAATGGCGGTGAAAGGAAATGACTTAGCTCCGCATGAGATTGAGTCAGTCTTGTTGAAGAAGTTCGGGGAGACCCCCACGAAGGAGACCTTGACATGGTATTCACTTTTACTCAAGCACTCAATAGATTCCTTTGAGATGCTCGCGGATTCTTTTATCAAGTCCCATGCCAGGGCCAAGAAGGTGCAGGCCCGAAAGGCCAAATTATTTAGAATTGCGCAAGGAGATTCCGAGTTGCTGCGAGAGTTCGTGACCAGATTTCAGAAGAAAATAATGCTGCTACCGGCCGTGATAGATGAATCGGCAGATGAGGCATTCACTAAGGGGCTGAACCCAAGGAGTTCTGACGCTTCCCAAAAATTAAAAGACAGTCTACTCGAGTTTCAGGCAACAACATGGGCAGATGTCCACAACCGCTATGAATCGAAGATAAGAATAGAGGATGAATACCTCGGCTTCTCGGCATCAACCAAGGGTCGGGACAGAGAAGAAAATAAGGAAAAGTTGAAGGATGATTTCGGTGTAGATCGATCGTCTTCTAGCTAGGTTTCTTCCTTACGAAATGGTCGAAGGACAAGACAGAGGTTTCCGGTCGGCGGATAGGTTCACTATCCATAAGAGAGCTAATCTTGGCCGGAATAACAGGTCGTTACAGGACAAAGAGGTATCGGGTTCTTGGGACTCCACCTACCTAGACTATCCGAGTACAATTTCAACGTCAGCATGGTGGAGCTGGTATCGGCAATGAGAAACATTAAAGAAGCACTATTCCCCAGGACGATGAGATTCAGCCCCGGTCAGAGAGATCATAACCTATGGTGTGAGTATCTTGGGACCAACGGCCAGAGGGATAAGGACTGTCGACATCTGCACGAGGAGGTGGCGACATTGCTAAAAACGGCCATCTCAGAGAGTTCTTTAGCAATCGTGCTAAAAACAACTATAGTCGCAACTGAGATAACGTGGAGCACTCAAAGACGGGCGAAAATCCTCCTTCTCTAATGATCAATATGATTTTCGGAGGGAACGAGATCAATGATGTAACCTTCTTGGCCACAAAAAAGACAAAGGTATCGGTAATCCAAAGCAAAAGACTTCGGGAAGTCACTGAGGACGATATCACCTATACGGAAGAGGATGCCGATAGACTCCTACTACCGCACAATGATGCCTGGTAATTTCTCTTAATATTTTAGATTTTAAAATTAAATGTATTTTGGTGGACCAGAGAGTTCAGCTAATATTATCCAATGGAGAGTTGTGGAACAAGGCAAGCTAACCTGAAGTATCGTTTCAGCCACAAAGCTCCTCACCGGGTTCAACTTAGCAAGCGTGACAACCTGAGGGAGATTCTACTGCCCAGCAATGCTGAAGGGGTAATGAAGACGACCCTGTTTGAAGTAATGAACGGTGACATGGTCTACAACATTATTCTTGGAAGACCTTGGTTACACAAAATAAAGGTTGTGCCATCGACATACCATCAACTTCTGAAGTTCCCAACCCCAGAGGGAGTTAAACAAATAAGAGGAGATCAACCGACAGGAAGAGATTTAAATGCAATCTCGGTTTTCAGTAGCAAAAAGAAAGGACCATAGAACATAGCAATTAGAGGAACCGATGCCTGCTCCCGAACCAAACGAAGTCGACAAAGGGGTAGGGGATTCGTTAGAATCCTACCAGGTGCCAAGGTATTTCCAAGTACCAGAAAAAACGGATGCAACCAAATCCACATCGGAAGAACTTGAACATGTCGCTGTGTTTTAGAAATTCTTGGAGAGGAAACTTTACTTGGGGACAGGACTAGACCCCGAGCTTAGGTCAGGATTTATAGAATTTCTTAAATATAATTTTGATTATTTTGCATGGTCTTATGTGGATATGATAGGTATCCCGCTAGAGGTGGCCGTGCACAAGTTAAGCCTGAATCCAAACATCCCTCCGGTAAGGCAGAAGAAATGCCCTATTTCTGAGGCCAGAAACAGGTTTGTCAAAAAAGAGGTAGCTTGATTTCTTGATATTGGGATCAATCTGGGAGGTAAAGTATCCTGACTGGCTAGCTAATGTACTAGTAGTTCCAAAAAGAATAATAAATTTTGCATGTGCGTAGATTATAAGGATATGAATAAGGCGTGCCCAAAAGAATCTTTCTCATTGCCAAACATTGATCAAATGATTGATGCGATGGTCGGGCACGGGTTGATAAACCCGAAGAATCAGGAAAAAACTTTGTTCATAATGAACTTTGGTACATATTGATATAATGTGATGCCTTTAGGGCTTAAGAATGCCTGAGCTACCTATTAGAGGCTTGTGAACAAAATATTTGAAAAGCAAATAGGGAAAACAATGGAAGTTTACATAGATGATGTGCGGGTCAAGTCTTTGAACGCAGGTGATCATCTTAAACACCTCCAAGAAACCTTTGACATCCTAAGGAAGCACAACATGAAGCTTAACCCCAAAAAGTGTGCATGTGGAGTCAACTTCAGTAAATTCTTAGGGTTTCTGGTGTCACAAAGGGGGATCGTAGTCAATCTCGATAAAATTAAAGCCATCGAGGACATTCCCGATTAGCTGTCAAATGTGAAAGAGGTTCAGAGGTTACATGGAGACTGGCCACTTTAAGAAGGTTCATTTCCCGGTCTTCATAAAAATGCCATCACTTCTTCTCACTTGGAAAAAGAAGAACAACTTTGAATGGACTCTGGAATTCCAGTAGGCTTTGAAAGATTTTAAAAGGTAGTTACTGAGTCGTCCGTTATTATCTAAACCGGAGGAAGGCAAAAAGTTACTAGCTTACTTGGCAGTCTTGGATGTAGCGGTAAGAGTCGTTTTAGTCCATAAAGACGAAGGTACAAAATCTCCCATTTATTATGTTAGTAAAATTTTAACGGGAGCATAAACTCACTACCCACACCTTGAAAAATTAGCCTTAGCTCTCATAGTCGCCGCTTGAAAGCTTAGGCCTTATTTTCAATGACACCCAATAGTCGTGGTGACAACCTTTCCTCTGTAGAATATCCTTCACAAACCTGAACTTTTAGGTCGATTGGTCAAATGGGCAGTCGAAATGAGTTAATTTGACATAGAGTATAAACTCAAGACTAGGATCAATTCACAAGTTTTGGCGTACTTTGTGGCCAATTTCAGTCATGGATTGCTGCCTTTGGCTACCAAAGAAGCCGTGATAGTGTCAGAATCAACATCGGAATTCTAGACCTTGTTCACGGACAGAGCTTCCAATGTGAGGGTATGTGCTCGAGGCAGTATTAATCATGCCCTTAGGAGAAATCCTAAGCCAAGCCATAAGAATTGTTCCCTTGATTAACAATGAAGTCGAGTATGCGACTTTGATCGCAGGACTTGAGCTGGACCGGGGATTGGACTCTGAGGTCATAAAAATCAAGTGCGATTCCCGACTGGTAGTAAATCAGGTATACGGGATCTTCGACATCAAAGAGGAACACATGCAACAATATGTAGAGAAATTCCATATTGTGCTCGCACGGTTCAAGGA